AATGAAAAGGTATGCATCAATGTTTTATTTGTTTACTATCATAGAGATTAATGCTTTGACTTAGGTTATCTGTTCGATTTTCGTTAGCTTATACAAAAGCTCATGTTCAGTACAGCAGATCCTTATTTGGTGAATAGTTATCTTGAGGAGATCGCCAAATCATATAATGTAAATTGGAAAATGGATCCAAGTGTGGAAGATTCATTATTAGGAGTAAGTCTTTATTATCCCTTTCTTCAGCACGTAAATTACGTCTTATGATGACATTGACTTATCATGAATGAATTTTTTTGATAGATGGACTTTTTAAATACAAGAAATAAGACAGAACTTACCGCCTTACCAGACATGGAACTACTTTTGTCTTTGAATAATGACAAAGGAGGAAATAGTCAGTTGGTAAGCGGTCCCGATGAAGAAATGTCCAACCGTACATCTCGAAATCTGAAATGATAACTGATTGCTTACTCATTCACCGCTTTCAAGTCTTCAATAACTTCGTCCGATTCCGATTGTCTTGTTCTGGACATTCCCACCCCTCAACGACCTGACAGCAAAAAGAATGACAAGCTTGGTAGGCCACCATCACCGTTAGACCTTTCTCAAAATAATTATGTTACACCCCCACCACCATATTCGGCTAGTAATAACAACGTCAAAACAACTACAGAAAACCCCATACCAAAATCTACAACTAAATCTACAACTAAATCTAAAGCTAAGCCCACAGACGGCTTGCCAGATCTTGATGAATTGGAAAGAAGGTTTGAAGCGCTGAAAAGGAAATAAATAATTTTTTTTCTTTTTTTTTTTTTTAATGTTAAAATTAGATAATTTCTATTTGTAACCCATTATTATTACATAAAATATTTTTCTACAAATATACAAAATAATAATATTGCAAACTAAATAAGATTGTAAATAAATGTAATCAATGAAGTTTTGTGTTTACAAGTTTATATGAAAAAATATCAAGCGACTTCTAAAATAGTGTTTGATTTTTTAGTCTCTTTCTGCACAACTTTTGATTTAACTTCTTGTTGCGGCGTCAATTCATCTAGAAAATGAATAGTAATTAGTTATTGTATTTATTCAATTAAAGAAATAATTTACTTTCTACTAGGGACGATGAGCAGAATTTACGTGAATTCTGCAATTTTAAAATATAAAATAAAATTTATATTTTGTAATATTTTTATTTGTTAAAGTACATTATATTTAATGTTTTAAGCAAAATCTCAGAAAGATTTT